CCCCAACGCGGTAATGTTCTCCACAGCCTGTGTCATCGGCCGACGCGGCTTGCATCTGCTGCATGGACCAGTTCAGTTGCTGGAACAAAGTCGGCCTAAAGAGTTGTGAGAGGTAGGACTCCCCGCATCTATCGGCGTTACAAGAAAAATGGCTCTTGTTCTCAATAAGAAGTACAAACTGGCATCCAGTGAGAATTTTGATGAAGTCATGAAGGCTTTAGGTAAAGTCTGATTCGATACATCTATCTGTATTTTGTGTTGGTAATACTACTCGTGTATTGATAAGTTTGCAGGTGCTGTGTTTAAAACCTAGAAATTTGGTAAAATTGTTATGAGAGAAGAACAAGGTTCGCATTTAGTATTGTGTGTAATATAACTGTGCATTTAATTGGATAGTACTTAGATTTTACAGAGTTCTGCCTACTAAGAGTTCATTTTTCTCGTACTTATCTGTAATTTCGCAACATGAAAATAATGTGGTTTGTGATTCCTGTTATCAGCGGTGGAACGCGTTTGTAAATTATCTGCATTTTTGAGTTCTGTATGCATAAGCGGACAAAGGACGGTTCAAGAAGAAACTTCGACCTTTGCATTCCCAGTTTTATAATTTTTCTAACGACTTGATGGATTTGGTGTACGGGAGGTTAGGTTAGAACAAGTTTAATTTTGAATGTGCATTTCTTTATTTTTGGAATTTTTTTCGTTTATAATTTCAGCACTCAAAATATCATAAATTAGGCAGGTAAACACTTTGGGTCTTCATATTTCGAAATTACATACGAATGTTAAATATGGTTTCTTATTCTTCTTGTGTTGTACTGTTGAAGTTTTATATGCAGTGCAAAAGCTGTTTTAGAGATAATAATTTGTCTCACAAAATGATCAGTGTAATGTATTAGTCTCATGCGGAACAGGGACCTGTAGCTCCCTCTTACTGAGACGTATTTATTAACCTTTCATTTCTTTTGAAGACGGGGAAATTTATGCATCTCTGCTTCTCAAGGACACTGTTTCACGAAAAATTAATACCTTTATATTAAATTATTTACACTCTGTTAGTATGCAGCGAATGATTGGGAGTCAACGAGATGACACTCACGTCTTAAAAACTAAGCAGGTGTTTATTATTGTAAGTGAATTAGTACAGGTTTGCTAACTCTAGCCCAGGACTACGAGTTGTTTGTACGGGAAGTGCTTGCAAACATTGCCACTGAAATACGTTCCGTTGTATTCATTGCTACAAATGTATTAAATTATAATGCAAAATTGTTGAACACATCTGCTATCCCCCACCCTTGATTTCTGAAGACATAAAAATTACAAAATTAAAAAGAAAAAAGACAAGTACATGTACCAAATATTAATACCAAAAATTAAAATATTCTTCAGTCATCAATACAAAAGAGTTTAACAACTTACAATTTAAACGTGGGTTTATAAGCAAATTTTCTGCAGATTTGCCATTCTGTTCGGGACTTAAATCAGGATGGGAATCGGCGGGGTTCATATGAGTTGAGATCAGAGGTCAATGTACCATTTATTAAAGCAG